AGTTGCTGGCTGGCTTTCTCACGGGCGTATCTAACGACAGAGCGACGTTAACGGTTTCTCTGCTCCTGTTACCTTGAGGTGGCTGCCAGGAGAGCGCCCGGAAGGCAAGTTCAGGGAAAGGGGCTGATTTTTACCCTGATTTCCTCAATTTGCCCAGAAGTCAGGCATCTCATAGAGACAGAATAAGGGACTTTAGTCCTTGGAGACGGAAGAGGGACCTTGGTGCATAGGGACAGGATAGGGACCTCCAGCCGAAACCGGTGTGGCTCAGTGGATAGAGCGTCGGCCTGCGGACTGAAGGGTCACGGGTTCGATTCCGGTCAAGGGCATGTGCCTTGGTTGCGGGCACATCCCCAGTGGAGGGGTGTGCAGGAGGCAGCTGATCGATGATTCTCTCTCATCGATGTTTCTAACTCTCTATCCCTCTCTCTTCCTCTCTGTAAAAAAAAATCAATAAAATATATATTTAAAAAAAAAAAAAGAATAGGAACCTCCATTCATTGAGAGGGAATGGACACCTCCATCCTTAGAGACGGAACAGAGACCCCAGTCCATGGAGATGAGGGAACGGAGGCTCCAGATGCAGTGGCATGCCCGGGCTCCAAAGGGCAGAGTCCGGATTTGAACTCAGATCTCAGGGCCGAGTCCCCAGCAGGGGATCTGCTGTGGAGGGTCAGTTCCTCCCTTCCCGCCCCCCTCCCCCCTCTTCCCCTCCTTCTGGCCTTGCCGTTGGGGAAGTCTAGAAAAAATGCTGAGATCTGGTCTGTCCGGACGCAGGCGTCTTCAAACTACGGCCCGCGGGCCACATGTGGCCCGCAGAGGAGTCTGATCCGGCCCGCCAGGTTTTTTGGGCAGTGAGCGCAGCCGAGGTGTTACAGTAGGAATTAGTAGTTCATATAGTCCGGCCCTCCAGCTCTCTGAGGGACCGTGATCTGGCCCCCACTTTAAAAAGTTTGAGGACCCCTGGTCCAGACCCACAGCAGACACGAAGGCTTGGGCAGCTGGGTCCGTCCGGGTGCAGCTGGGGCCAGGTCGGAGGGGCTGTGGTGGCACAGGGGTCTCCCCTGTGGACTCGGGAAGGACACCCCCTTCCCTCTCTCCCTCCCCGGCCTCATCGCCTGCAGCTCCAGGAGCAGGGACTTAGCAAATAGTATTTGTTGCACAAATGGACTAGTGGGTCCTCTGTTCTGGGGGTTGTCTGAAGAGTCGCCCAAACCTTTGCTGGACTCGGGGCTCCAGAATGGAGAAGTGGTCTTCCCAGCTCTGTGCTCTTCATCAGAAAAGGCTCCTTCCAGCCCTGGCCGGTGTGGCTCAGTGGATAGAGCGTCGGCCTGCGGACCCAAGGATCCGGGGTTTGATTCCGGTCAAGGGCATGGACCTCCGTTGCAGGCTCCTCCCTGGCCTGGGCCCTGGTTGGGGTTTGTGTAGGAGGCATCCAATCGATGTCTTTCTCTCACATCGATCTTCCTCTCTGTCTCTCTCTCTCCCACTCTCCCTAAAAATCAATGGAAAAATAGCCTCAGGTGAGGACTGATAAAAAAGCAAAAAAAGTAAAGGCTTCATCAAAAGGCAGACAGTAAGAGTGACAGTTGTTAGTTTTTCTTAAATGTTTTTATTGGTTTCGGAGAGGGAGAGGGAGAGAGAGAGAGAGAAACATCAATGATGAGAATCTTTGATCGGCTGCCTCCTGCACGCCCCCTATGGGGGATGGAGCCCGCAACCCGGGCATGTGCCCTGACCAGGATTCGAACCTCCTGTTTCATAGGTCGATGCTCAACCACTGAGCCATACAGGCCAGGCAAGCGGGATTCTTTATATCCGCTTAGGGCTTTGCCAAGAGCTGAGTACGGCCCTTCCTGGGTAGGATTTTCTTTTCTCTCTCTCTCTCTTGTAAAAAAAAATATATATATTTTTTATTGATTTTTTTACAGAGGAAGAGAGAGTTAGAAACATCAATGAGAGAGAATCATCGATCAGCTGCCTCTTGCACACTCCCTACCGGGGATGTGCCCACAACCAAGGTCCATGCCCTTGACCGGAATCGAACCTGGGACCCTTCAGCCCGCAGACCGACGCTCTATCACTGAGCCAAACTGGTTTCAGCCTGGGTAGGATTTTCATCCCCATCTTTAGATGGGGAAACTGAGGCACGGACGTGACTTTGAAACGACATTGCTCAGGCACTTGTAAGTGGCAGCTTAGACTTGAGGCCGGGCTCCCCGACTTTCCAACAAGGGGCTGCGCCCCGAGCCTGAGCTTAGCTCCCTCGGGCCCCGCTCCCACAAGAGAGTCCCATTTCACCCCTAATAGGCTCGTCTGTAGTGTCCATTTCAGGGAGGCTTGTTCCTGTCTGGGGCGTTTTATTTTTAGCCGCTGAATTCAGGAAGGGGAGGCTCGGCTGGCCTGTGGGGGGAGGGAGACACCCGCCCAGAGCCAGTTTCCTGAGGAAGGGCCTCTGATGGGCCCGGTGCCACCTCCCTGACCGCGGCCCTGGGCTGGGAGCGGGCGAGGCGGGCACCAGCCGCCCCGGGATTGTCTCTCTCCGTCCTCTGGCCTGCCTCCCGGGTGCCAGGCTGTGGGGGGTTAATTCGTGAGGATCCAGCTCAGGGCTCCAAGGAGGCCCTCCCCCATCTGGGCACTGCGTGCCCGCCACTGGAGAGGCTGGCAGAGGGCACTGGCCTGGCAGGGAGGGCAGGGAAACCCAGGAGCAGGTGCGATTGGAAAGAAGGCTGGGAGGAGGGGCCAGGGGCTCAGCAGGTTGGGGAGAAAGGCACCAAGAGGGAGGAGGGCCCCGACAACATGCAAAGGGTGGGGCCCGCCGAAACCGGTGTGGCTCAGTGGATAGAGCATTGGCTTCCGGACTGAGGGGTCCCAGGTTCGATTCCGGTCAGGGGCATGTGCCTTGGTTGCAGGCACATCCCTGGTGGGGGGGGTGCAGTAGGCAGCTGGTCGATGTTTCTCTCTCATCGATGTTTCTAGCTCTCTATCCTTCTCCCTTCCTCTCTGTAAAAAATCAATAAAATATATATTTTAAAAAAACAAACAAAGGGTGGGTCCTATGGGAAGGTAGGACATCCTGCACCTGCGGTTTGGTGGGCACATATGGCTTTTTTTTTGCTATATTTTTATTGATTGCAGAGAGGAAGGGAAAGGGAGAGAGAGAGAAACATCAATGATGAGAGAGAATCCTGGATTGGCTGCCTCTTGCATGCCCCCTACTGGGGATTGAGCTTACAACCTTGGGCATGTGCCCTTGACCAGGATCTAACCCGGGACCCTTCCGTCCACAGGCCGATGCTCTATCCACTGAGCCACACCATCTATGGCCACATTGATTTTTAAAAAAATGTATTTTATTGATTTTTTACAGAGAGGAAGGAAGAGGGAGAGAGTTAGAAACATCGATGAGATTGAGAAACACCCACCAGCTGCCTCCTGCACGCCCCCCACCGGGGATGTGCTTGCAACCAAGGCACATACATGTCCTTGACCAGAATCAAACCCGGGGCCTTGAGTCTGCAGGCCGACGCTCTATCCACTGAGCCACACTGGCCGGGGCCCCATTGATTTTTCTAAAAGAACCTATTAGCTGGGTGAGTGTGGCGGCAACGCTGGGGTTCGGTGCCTTCCTTTCGGAGGGATTCTTTATATCCTCGGAGGGTCTTTGCAGGGAGCCGAGCCCCTTCCCCTGAGTGACAACCCTTCACGGGCTTGTAGCTCAGCCTCTGCCGAGGGCTTCTTTCACCTCGGATCTTGCGTGGAATCCCAGTGTGCAAATCAGAAAGAGAAAAAAAAAAGCGATCATTTTTATCAGTGTGCATGTACAATAGATATTTAAATACATTTGATTGATTTTTTACAGAGAGGAAGAGAGAGGGATAGAGAGTTAAAAACATGGATGAGAGAGAAACTGATCAGCTGTCTCCTGCACCCTCCCCACTGGGGATGTGACTGCAACCAAGGTACATGCCCTTGACCAGAATCAAAACCGGGACCTTGCCAAAGCCGGTTTGGCTCAGTGGTAGAGCGTCGGTCTGCGGACTGAAAGGTCCCAGGTTCGATTCCGGTCAAGGGCATGTACCTTTGTTGCGGGCAAATCCCCGGTAGGGGGTGTGCAAGAGGCAGCTGGTCGATGTTTCTCTCTCATCGACGTTTCTAGCTCTCTATCCCTCTCCCTTTCTCTCTGTTAAAAATCAATAAAATATATTTAAAAAAATATTGAAAAACAGAAGAATCTCTAGTTTCTGCGAGTTTTGAGCGTGCTTCCTGCAGGGCCTGCAAAGCATCGTTTTTTGGAAAATCACTGGGGACACTCAGCCTGCCTATTTCACAGATGGGGAGACTGAGGCCAGCCAGGGGGCGGGGCTTACCCAGAACCCCATGGTGGGGAGGTGGAGATGGGCGGGTACTGTCCTGTCCCAAGGCAGGAGTAAAAAGAGGTCAGAGTAGGGGAGGGTGGGAGCAAGGGGGAGAGATCAACCAAAGGACTTGTGTGCATGCCTGTGGGTCTAGCCAGCGGCCCCGGGCAACAGGGGGGTGGGGGCATGCGTGATGAGGGGTTTGGGATGGGAATGGGGGGGGGATGAGGACAATTATGTGATACCATAATCAATAAAATTACTATTATTTTTTAAAAATATATTTTATTGATTTTCCACAGAGAGGAAGGAAGAGAGATAGAGAGCTAGAAACATCGATGAGAGAAAAACATCGACCAGCTGCCTCCTGCACACCCCCTCCAGGGGATGTGCCCACAACCAATGTACATGCCCTTGACGGGAATCGAACCCGGGACCTTTCAGTCCGCAGACCGACGTTCTATCCACTGAGCCAAGCCGGTTTCAGCCATAATCAATAAAATTTTAAAAATTAAAATTAAAAAAGAGGTCAGAGGCCGACGCACCCGGAGTTACCCCGCCCCTTGCTGTCTGTCTGTCTGTCTGTCTGTCTGTCTTCTGGGCCTGCAGCACTAACGCCCCCTTCTCCCCTCGCCCCCACAGCGATGCCCTCCTAGCCCCGCCCAGGCATGGAGGGCTTCATGGACTCGGGGACCCAGACGGACGCGGTGGTGGTGCTGTCCCTGGCGCAGGCCGCCGTGCTGGGCCTGGTCTCGGAGAATGAGCTCTTTGGCGCCACCATCAGCGCCGACGCCTTCTACCCGGACCTGGGCCCCCCGGAGCTGTCATCGGCGGCGGAGTCCGCGGCCTCTTCCCTGGGGGAGCCGGGCCCCCAGGACCCCGATGTCTACCAGCTCGCCTGCCACGGACGCGGCCTGGAGGAGCCGGCGGCGGCGGAGGAGGAGGTGCTGGAGGTGGAGGCGGCCTTCGAGAAGCACACGCGGCGGAAGACACGGCCACCGGTGCGCCTGGTGCCCAAGGTCAAGTTTGAGAAGCTGGAGGAGGAAGAGGAGGAGGAGGAGGAAGTCTACGAGGTGTCTGTGTCCGGCGGCTGCAATGACAAGGACGCAGGCCCCGCTGAGGTCCCCGGCTGCGAGGCCCTGGTGCAGAGCAGCGCCGTCAAGATGATCGACCTGAGCGCCTTCAGCCGCAAGCCCCGGCCGCTGCGGCCCCTGCCCCGCGCCCCAGCCCCGCGGCCAGAGCTGGACCTGGCCCCCTACGCCCCCCACTTCCCCGATCCCGCCCGGGATGTCGTGTACCCGGAGCCCGACGCCTTGCCCTTGACCTTGACCTCCGAGTGTGGCTTTGAGCCGCCGCCGCCTCCTCCGCCGCACCTGGCCCCGCTGGGCGACCCCGAGGCGCCCCCCGCCTCCGCCGCCACCGTGGGGTCCCCGGAGGCCCTGAAGCCCGAGGAGGGGGGCTTCGTGTGGCCGGAGGCCGGCGAGCTGGAGGCGGCCGCCGGCTCGACCGCCGATCGGCACAAGAAGGCCCAGCTCGACCGGCTGGACATCAACGTGCAGATCGACGACTCGTACCTGGTGGAGGCGGGCGACCGGCAGAAGCGCTGGCAGTGCCGCATGTGCGACAAGTCCTACACGTCCAAGTACAACCTGGTCACGCACATCCTGGGCCACAACGGCATCAAGCCGCACGCATGCCCGCACTGCGGCAAGCTCTTCAAGCAGCCCAGCCACCTGCAGACGCACCTGCTCACGCACCAGGGCACGCGGCCGCACAAGTGCCAGGTGTGCCACAAGGCCTTCACGCAGACCAGCCACCTCAAGCGCCACATGCTGCTGCACTCCGAGGTGAAGCCCTACAGCTGCCGCTTCTGCGGCCGCGGCTTCGCCTACCCCAGCGAGCTCCGGGCCCACGAGGGCAAGCACGAAAGCGGCCGCTGCCACGTGTGCGTGGAGTGCGGCCTGGACTTCTCCACGCTGGCGCAGCTCAAGCGCCACCTGGCATCCCACCAGGGCCCCACCCTCTACCAGTGCCTCGAGTGCGACAGGGCCTTCCACTACCGCAGCCAGCTGCACAACCACATGCTCAAGCACCAGAACGTGCGGCCCTTCGTGTGCACCGAATGCGGCATGGAGTTCAGCCAGGTGCACCACCTCAAGCAGCACTCGCTCACGCACAAGGTACGTGCGCCGTTCTCGCGCCTCCCGGGTCTCCCTCCGCCTCCCCCTGGCTCCGCCCTCGCCGGTCCTACAACCCAGGGCTTCCCGAAGGTCGTCCTAGAGGCGGTTCATAGACGAACAGTTCTTATTTATTTTTTAAAATTTGTTGATTTTCTACAGAGAGGAAGAGAGAGGGATAGAGAGTTAGAAACATCGATGAGAGAGAAACATCGATCAGCTGCCTCTTGCACACCCGCTACTGGGGATGGGCTCGCAACCAAGGTACATGCCCTTCACCGGAATCGAACCCGGGACCCTTCAGTCCCCAAGCCGGCGCTCTATCCATTGAGCCAAACCGGTTTCGGCTATTTATTTTTTTAAAATATATTTTATTGATTTTCTTCAGCGAGGAAGAGAGAGGGATAGAGAGTTAGAAACATCGATGAAAGAAAATCATCGATCAGCTGCCTCTTGCACACCCCCTCCTGGGGATGTGCCCACAACCAAGGTACATGCCCTTCACCGGAATCGAACCTGGGACCTTTCAGACCGCAGGCCGACGCTCTATCCACTGAGCCAAACCGGTTTCGGCACAGATGCAGTTCTTACGTATTTATTTTTCTTGATTTCGGAGAGGTTTCGGGCTGGATCCCCAGTGTGGGGTGTGCGGGAAGGCAGCCGATCCATGATTCTCTCTCATCACTGATGTTTCTCTCTAGCTCCCCCTCCCTCCCTCTCTGAAATCAATAAAAATATGTTTAAAAAAATTCTCGGGTGAGGACTAATAAATAATAATAATACGGCCCAGCCGGTCTCTGCCCAGTCAACCCTGCAGGGCTTCCTGGAGGCAGCGGCCCTGCCCGGCATCCTAAACAAGCAGTGCCTGTTTGGAACAACCCCCCCCGCCCCGCCCCCCCAAGGGAGTCATTTCCCAGAAGCTGTACAGACAGGCGCTCCGACCCTCTCTAGTCCACACAGAGGCTGTGCCCATCCTGTGGCCCTAACCACTGCCCCACCCCCACCCCCCAGGGCGTGAAGGAGTTCAAGTGCGAGGTGTGCGGCCGGGAGTTCACGCTGCAGGCGAACATGAAGCGGCACATGCTGATCCACACGAGCGTCCGGCCCTATCAGTGCCACATCTGCTTCAAGACCTTCGTGCAGAAGCAGACCCTCAAGACCCACATGATTGTACACTCGCCCGTGAAGCCGTTCAAGTGCAAGGTACCCGGCCCGCCGGCCCCGGGGCGGGGCCTGTCCTCTGGGCGGCCCCGGATCAGCAGGACTGGCGGGCACATCTGTATGCAATGCATACAGTTGGCGCTGGTTGGGTGCAACTGCCCGGGCTTCGGGGAGATGGAATGGGGGGGTGCGGTTCAGATCTTACAAGCTGCTGAAGTTGTTTTACGAGAGTTGGGGAGGGGGATGTGTGTGAAAGTCAAGGTGCAGCTACAGGGAGAGAGATTTGGTGCAGTAGGAGATCCGAACTTTCGATGTTAAGAGAAATTGTCTTTTTTTAAGATACATTTTAATTTTTTAAAAAAATATATTGATTTTTCACAGAGAGGAAGGGAGAGGGATAGAGAGCTAAAAACATCGATGAGAGAGAAACGTCGACCAGCTGCCTCCTGCACACCCCCTACCTGGTGCCCGCAACCAAGGTACATGCCCTTGACGGGAATCGAACCTGGGACCTTTCAGTCCGCAGTTCGAACGCTCTATGCACTGAGCCACACCATTGTCCCAGCTCAGGAACAGTGAGGTGCGAGGAGGCTTAGGTCTCTGTCTCTCGGGCCTCTGGGGTCACATAGGAAAGAATGAAAAACCAGGGCTTGACCGCAGTGGGTGGGACTGCAGCCTGGCCACAGAGGTGGGCGGGGGCGTGGCTTCTGGAGGGCGGGGGCGTGGCTTCTGGATAGATGGGGTGTGGCTCCTGTAGGGAATGGGCCCGGCCTCTGGAGGGCGTGGCTTCTGGAGAGACGGGGCGGGGCTCCTGGGGTGGGGCGTGGCTTCTGGAGGGCGGATCCCCCGTGGGCTGACGGTGCCCCCGGCTGTGTTCCAGGTGTGCGGGAAGTCCTTCAACCGCATGTACAACCTGCTCGGCCACATGCACCTGCACGCGGGCAGCAAGCCCTTCAAGTGCCCCTACTGCTCCAGCAAGTTCAACCTCAAGGGCAACCTGAGCCGGCACATGAAGGTCAAGCACGGCGTCATGGACATCGGCCTGGACAGCCAAGGTGGGTGGGCCACGCGCAGCGGACGGGCCAGGAGTGGTCCCCTCCCGGCACACGCTGGAGCCTCCTGTCCCGTGAGGGGAGGCGGCGGGGGGAGGCTGGCCAGGCCTGAGACCTCGCTGGGGTGGGCGCAGGTCTGGAGAGGGGGCCCCCCGGAGGGCCCGCGTGGCGACGACGGGATGTTCATGTATGCTTCCAAGGAGCTGAGCGGGCTCACGTAAAAAACAACAACAACAACAAAAAAACGATATAATAAAGAGAACGCCGTTGATTGAGTGCTACCTGTGTGCCAGGCCTTTATTAACGCACGTGACCCCGAAGGCGAGGTGTTACCGATGTGGGAACTCGAGGACGGAGGGGTTAGGTAACTCGTGTCAGATCACCACACGCAGGAACGATACTTTAATTAATTAATTAATTAATTAATTTTAAAATATATATATATATATTTTATTAATTTTTCACAGAGAGGAAGAGAAAAGGATAGAGAGTTAGAAACATCGATGAGAGAGAATCATCGATCAGCTGCCTCTTGCACCACCCCTACTGGGGATGTGCCCGCAACCAAGGTACATGCCCTTGACCGGAATCGAACCCGGGACCTTTCAGTCCCGCAGGCCGACGCTCTATCCACTGAGCCACACCGGTTTTGGCAGGAACGATACTTTATCTCATGACTGAGAGATGACGGGAAATAAAGGGGCGGGGAAGGGATTCTCAAATGAGAAAGTGGCAGCTGGAGAGGGAAGGGACAGCCAGGTGCACCATGGGAAGCCTGGCGGGCAGGCAGAAGGGAGCGCTGAGCTTCCCAGCAGCCAAGGCGAAAAGGGTAATGGTCCTCCCGGGAAGTGTGCTTCCTCATTCCCTCCCAGCGGGAGAGGGAGAGCCTGCTCGCCTTTGCTCTGTGAAGCCAACAAGAACATTCTAAGAATTCACAGGCCAGCGGGGGTGGGGGGGGGGGGGGGGGGGTGTCCCAGGCTTCGTCCTGAGCCACTTCTTGGGGAACGGGTGGGTGGAGCTTGCCCTTAGACTTGAGGTTCTCACAGAGCGGGGAGTTAGTCCCCGAGGAATGTCTGGCTCTGGTTCGGTTGTCACACCTGGGGTGGTGCTTCTGGCATGGGGCTGACAAAGGCTGGAGCTGCCGCTGAACACCCTACAGTCCACAGGACGGGGCCCCCAACAATCAATGACAGCCCCAAATGTTGGTGGGGCTGGGGTTGAAAGCCCCGCCTTAGCCCTGGAGGCCACCCTCCCAGGGTCCCCAGATCATACCCCAGGCTTCCCCCTTTCTCTCCGCGCTCCCCCCCACCCCACCTCCATGACTCCCTTTTTTTTTTTTTTAATATATATTTTATTGATTTTTCACAGAGAGGAAGGGAGAGGGATAGAGAGTTAGAAACATCGATGAGTGAGAAACATCAATCAGCTGCCTTCTGCACACCCGCTACCGGGGATGTGCCCGCAACCACGGTACATGCCCTTGACCGGAATGGAACCTGGGACCTTTCGGTCCGCAGGCCGACGCGCTATCCACTGAGCCACACCGGTTTCGGCGTGTCTGGTTCTTGTTCCGACAGTAAGAGCATTAGAATGAGATTTCAGCTGGATACAATGACAGGAGGCCTCTTAGCGTTCCTGCCTCCTCCTCCTCCTCCGGGTTAACCTCTCCTGGGTGTGTGCTTGGCCCGGGGAGACCACTGGGTAGAGCTGGCTTCAGGCACAAACGCTGGCCCCCCTGGCCTGGGCAGCTCAGCTGGCGAGAGCATCCTCTCCCACCACAAGGTGGCGGTTCAAACCCCACAGTCAGGGCACATGTAAGAAGTAACCCGTGCCGAGACCGGTGTGGCTCAGTGGATAGAGCGTCGGCTTGGGGACTGAAGGGACCCGGGTTCGATTCCGGGCAAGGGCATGTGCCTTGGTTGCGGGCATATCCCCGGTAGGGGGTGTGCAAGAGGCAGCTGGTCGATGACTCTCTCTCATCGATGTTTCTGACTCTCTGTCTCTCTCCCTTCCTCTCTGTACAAAATCAATAAAATATATTAAAAAAAAAAAAAGAAGTAACCCGTGAATAAGTGGAAACAGCACGTCTATGTTTTTCTCCCTCTCAAATCAATAAAATTTTAAAAAAATAAAAAGAAGCATCCATGCTACAGGAAGTCAGAGGAAATGGGGTCCCCCTCCCCCGCCCCCCAGCCGGTGGGTGAAATCAGCAGCTTTGCCGGGTCCCCTTAAAAGCTGATGCACCCCTCTGACTGCCCTTTGGCCTCCTCACTGGGGTCGCTGTGAGCACTCGCACTCCGATGTGTGTGCCGTGAAGTGAGTGGTGATGCTGAGACGGGACACAGGGCAGCCAAAGGGGACGGATGGGAAACATGGCAGAAAAGAAATAAGCTTAGTGGCTTAGGAGAGACGGGAGAGGCAGGACCAAGAGGCCAAGGCCAGGCCTGTCCCCTCCCCTCCCCTCCACACACCCCCCCACACACACACACGGGGCTCCGATCTGATGATCTATCAGAGTAGCCACCAGCATCTGGGGACGCTTCTAGGGGGTCCTGTGGGAACACCGCCTGGGAAGTTCTTCTTTTGGAAACGCCCGTGGTCGGCAAACTGCGGCTCGCGAGCCACATGCGGCTCTTTGGCCCCCCCGGAGTGTGGCTCTTCCACAGAATACCAGGGTATGGGCTAGACTATTTTGAAGAAGTGGTGTTAAAAAAAAGTTTAAGTCTTTTTCTTTTCTTTTTTTTTTTTTAGTTAAAATTTTATTTTTTTAATTATTTTTTAAATGTTATTTTATTGATTTTTGTTACAGAGAGGAAGGGTGAGGGATAGAGAGTTAGAAACATCGATGAAGAGAGAATCACCGATCAGCTGCCTCTTGCACACACCCCCCACTGGGGATGTGCCCGCAACCAAGGTACACGCCCTTTGCCGAAATCGAACCCGGGACCTTTCAGTCCGCAGGCCAACGCTCTATCCACTGAGCCACACCGGTTTCGGCTGGGCTAGTCTATGTTGAAGAAGTGGCGTTAGAAGAAGCTTAAAAATCTAAAACATGCGGCTCTCCAAAGACATGTCAGTCGTTGGTTGTCCTGTGGAGGTTTGGCTCTGTGGTCGAATGAGTTTGCCGACCGCATGCGCTTCCTCTGGGGGCCGCAGGTCCCAGAGGCGGCCTCGGGGGCTAACTGTGCCCCTGTCTTGCAGACCCCATGATGGAGCTGGCGGGCGCCGACCCCTCGGAGCTGGACGGCCAGCAGGAGATGGAGGACTTTGAGGAGAGCGCGTACGCGTACGCGGGCGTGGACGGCGGCGCCGAGGCCAGCGTGCTCACCGAGCAGGCCATGAAGGAGATGGCCTACTACAACGTGCTCTAGCGGCCCCCGGAACCGGGTGAGGGGGGCCTGGGCGTGGGGGTGAGACCCCCAGGAGTCACCACTAGGGACTCGCAGACCAAATGGATGAACCACTGGCCTCGGCTGGGAACCGGACCCGGGCCCCAGGCCCTGCGGGAAAGGGAGGGTGGCAGGGACCCTGGTCTGCGGCTCCTGGGCCTGCCTACTGCCCTGGGAGGGTCGGGGACAGGGACAGGCTCTCAGGTGTCCCCAGGCCCGCAGTGTCCCGCAGGGCCAAGCCGATGGCTCCTCAGGGGGTCCCGACACTGGAAAAAAGGATCGTGGAGCCTTGTTCCCCTCCCTGCCTGCTTCTTAGGGATGTTGGGGCTCCCGGCTGGCCAGCACTGCCCACCCCTTACCCATGAGCCCCCGGGGCTGGGCCCCCCCTCCCCCACCCTGCCCCCCGGACAGCCAGGCAGGGCCCCGCCTTCTACCTCCCGGTGCCTCCCCGGCTCCCCCTGGAGCCAGGGGCACGTGCGGCCCCATCCTGGCCGGCGGGACAGCAGGGTGCAGCTCACCCCCCCCCCCCCAGCAAACGCCTTCTCCAGCCCACCCCCCGCAGGCCCCTTCTTACCGCCCGGAGGTGGGTGGAGTCCCCCAGTTCTGTCTTAGCCGGGGCTCCACACGGTGTCCCCGATCGATCGGGGCCCCCGATGTGAGCTGAGCCGGGCACCGTGAGGGGTCTCTGAGACCCCCCCCCCCAGGAGCTGCCCGGGCTGGGGCCGGAGCATTCGTCTTATTTAAGGGGTCACCGTGTCCCTGCTGAGGTCGGGACAGCCCCGTCTGCAGGGCCCCCCCGAAACAGCCACATTTAAAAAGGAAAATGAAGACCATAGAGAGAAAGGAGATTTTTTTTTTTTTTTTTTTTTTGAGCAAATGGGGGACTTTGGAAGGTAATTGATTTTACGCTTATAACCTTTCTAATGGAGGCCGTTTTCTTTTTCCCAACGGGAGCTTCCTTACGTGCTGTGTGGGCGCTGTGCCCCCATCCGAGAACTTTGTCCTGGCCTGGCGGACCTCGGGGGCTGCGCTCCGGCCCTGGGGGCCCAGCTGCTGGCAGGGAGGCTCAGGGGGTGCGTGGGGAGGCAGGAGGAGGCCTGGGGGGCAGGCCCTCCACCCCCACCCAGCCCCTCGCTCTGACCCGCTTCCTCCCGGGCCCTGTCCCCCGCCGGCTCCTGCCCCTGGAACCGGAGGCGGCAGGCCCCTGGCAGGGCAATGGCACATTCAGGAACCGGGGGCACCCAGACCCCTGCCCTCTGTAGGGAGAGGCGGGCAGGGCTGTCCCCGAAGGCCCAGAGGAGGTGAAGCCACCAACGTCAGCCCAGGAACCAGGTGCGGGGACAGCTGGGGCTGGGAGAGCACTTTGCAATGCAGCCCCTGTGCCCAGGTGGGGGGGGGGGGGGCGGGCCTCGGGGTCAGGCCGCCCGGGGCCCCTCCTTCTCTGCTGCAGCTCCTGCTAAGCAACAGACGAGACGTTGGGGGCCACGGGGGCCCCTCCCCAAGCCTGGCTCTCCAGACCCCCCGCCCCCCGGCGCCCCGGCGCCTGCCACGATGACCCTCAGGTGGCAGTGACCCCATCACTGTAGAGACGTTTTCTCCTGCTGAGACGCATCGTTCCTGAAAACTACCTCTTCCCACGACGTCTTTCTCCCCTGGTACCAAAAAGAACCCCGTACCTCTCCTCCTCCTCCTCCTCCTCCCACTCCTCCTCCTCCCTCCCTCCTCCTCCTCCTCTCCTTCCTGCTTCCTCTTTTTTTCCCTCATCTTTCCTTCCTCCTCCTCCTCTCTCCCTCCTTCTTCTTTCCCTCCTCTCTCCCTCTTCCTCCTCATCTCTCCTCCCTCCTCCTCCCTCCCTCCTCCTCCCTCCCTCCTCCTCCTCCTCCTCCCACTCCTCCTCCTCCCTCCCTCCTCCTCCTCCTCTCCTTCCTGCTTCCTCTTTTCTTCCTCATCTTTCCTTCCTCCTCCTCCTCTCTCCCTCCTTCTTCTTTCCCTCCTCTCTCCCTCTTCCTCCTCATCTCTCCTCCCTCCCTCCTCCTTTTCTCCCTCCTCCTCCCCTTCTTCCTCCTCCTCCTCCCTCCCTCTTCCTTATTTTTCCTTCCTTCTTCCTCCCTCCCTCCTCCTTCCCCTCCCTTCCTCCTCCTCCCTCCCTCTTCCTCTTCCTCCACTTCTTCCTCCCTTCTCCCTCCTCCTCCCCCTCTCTTCCTCCTCCTCCTCCCGCCCTCCTCCTCCTCCTCCTCCCCTTCTTCCTCCTCCTCCTCCCTCCCTCCTCCTTCCCCTCCCTTCCTCCTCTTCCTCCTCCTCCCTCCCTCTTCCTCTTCCTCCACTTCTTCCTCCCTTCTCCCTCCTCTCTCCCTCCCTCCCTCCCTCCCGCTCCCTCCGCCAGCGCAGTGGCCTTGGAAACCCGAGGGAGAAGGGCCAGGCCCCGGGCGGGCTCTCCTTCCCGCCCTCGGCCAGCGCGATACTTGAACGCCCGGCCCTGTGCCTCGGACCCGGGTGAAGCTAACGGAAGGGGGGACAGCACAGCTCGCCGCCTGAGCTGGGGGGGGGAGGGGGGGGAGGAGAGGGTGGTCTGCCGAGGCTCCTGTCCTCACCCCTCTCGCCCCCAACCTTTGCCAAGGAGGTGTGAGCGAGGCCCCTCGGGGGACGGGGAGACTCCTGGACGCATCCGACTCTAACTTATTTGACTGTTTAGCGATCCCACGCGTGCAGAGCCCTACTGTGTCATTTTATGTTCCTGTTCCAGAGAAAAGTTTACTTAGCAATAATTATAAATAAATGGATATTCTTTAGCGAGGCGGCTGCGGGTGCTTCTTCCCCGTAATTCTCGGGGACCTGGTCCTCCCCCCCCCCCCCCCCCCCCCCCCGCAAGGAACTCCTAACTGAGCTTTGCAGCCCGCCCAGCTGGTGTGGCTCAGTGGTTAAGCCTCGACCTATAGACCAGAAGGTCAAGGTTCGATTCCCGGTCAGGGCACAGGCCCCGTGCTGGTTGTGGGCCCGGTCCTCAGTCGGGGGTGTGCAGGAGGCAGCCAACCCGTGGTTCTCTCTCATCACTGATGTTTCTCTCTCTCCCGTTCCCTTCCTCCCTGAAATCAGTAAATATATATTTTTATCTATTTATTTATTTTTTTAAATATATTTTATTGATTTTTTTACAGAGAGGAAGAGAGAGGGACAGAGAATTAGAAACATCGATGAGAGAGAATCATCGATCAGCTGCCTGCTGCACACCCCCAACTGGGGATGTGCCCACAACCAAGGTACATGCCCCTGACCGGAATCCAACCCGGGAACCTTCAGTCCGCAGGCCGATGCTCTCTCCACTGAGCCAAACCGGTTTCAGCTATATATATATATATATATATATATATATATATATATATATTCTTTTTTAAAATATATATATATTTAAAAAAAAAAGCTTTGCAGCCCTGCCGAAACTGGTTTGGCTCAGTGGATAGAGCGTCGGTCTGCGGACTGAAGGGGTCCAGGGTTTGATTCTGGTCAAGGGCATGGACCTTGGTTGTGGGCACATCCCCAGTAGGGGGTGTGCAGCAGGCAGCTGATCGATGATTCTCTCTCATCGATGTTTCTAATTCTCTGTCCCTCTCTCTTCCTCCCTGTAAAAAATCAATAAAATATATTTTATAGAAAGCTTTGCAGCCCTACCCAGCAGGGGAGGGCTCTCTGGGGACCGGGGGAGACCCACACCATCCTAAGCACCCACCAGAGTGAACCCCCAGGCACCCCCAGGGAGCTGCTCCAAGCCCAAGCCGAGGGAGGGGGGAGGCGGGAAGGGGGAGGAGGCAGACCAGGGCCCCAGAACCCCCACCGCCTGCAGACAAGAGCAGCTTTCCCTCCTCGTCCACCTTCGGGGCCCAGGACAGAAGCCAGCCCACCGTGCCAAGCCGGGCTTCCGAGGCTGCGCGTTCTGGCTTCCCCCCCGGAGCTGGGCCTGTCAGAGGGAACATGCCAGCCTGTCTTCCCATGGCCCTGGGAGCCCATGGCAATGACCTAGGACAATGGTCCTAGGGACAGAAGGGGGTGCCAGTGCCTGTGTGTGCGCGTGCATGCGTGTGTGTGTGTGTGTGTGTGGCTACAGCCCATCTCAAAGCTACCAAGGTCCCCAACTGTTGGGTTTCGTGTGTCTCTGTGTGTGTGTGTGTGTGTGTGCATGTGTGTGCGTGCGAATGTGTGTGCGCGCGTGCATGTGTGTGTGGCTACAGCCCATCTCAAAGCTACCAAGGTCCCCAACTGTTGGGTTGTAGTTGCTCTGAGAGTCCCCCCCAACACGTGGGAAATGGACTCAGGACTGCCAACTCTTTGTTTATCAAATGAACATGGTACAGCCTTCCCCCGGACATTTTGACACCAAAAGCATGCTAGGGGGACAGCCCTGGAAAGGGGGTCTGTTTGTTCTAGTTTTGCTAACGAAGGGAGGAGGGGGCCCGGCCGGCGTGGCTCCGTGGTTAAGAATCAACCCACGAACCAGGAGGTCACGGCTGGATTCCCGGTCAGGGCACACGGCGGGACGGCGGGCTCCATCCATCCCGTGTGGGGCGTGCAGGAGCAGGTGATCCGTGATGCTCTCTGATCACCCATGCCTCTCTCCCTCCCTCTCTCTCTCTCTTTCTGAAATCAATAAAAACATACATGTAAAACAGAAAAAAAGAAAAAGAATTGAGGAGATGAACTCAGGTCCGGGGCTCAGTGTCCTGGACCCCACGGGGGCCGTATTCATACACCCAGCACCCAGCACCCAGCACCCAGAAGCTGTGAGTGGAGAACCAGAGTCGACTGCCAAGGCGAGGGCCTGTTTTCAGTACCAAGAACAGGGCAAGGGGCCGAAACCGGTGTGGCTCAGTGGATGGAGCGTCGGCCTGCGGACTGAAAGGTCCCAGGTTCGATTCCGGTCGAGGGCATGTACCTTGGTTGCGGGCACATCCCCAGTAGGGGGTGTGCAGGAGGCAGCTGATGGATGATTCTCTCTCATGGATGTTTCTATCCCTCTATCTCTCTTCCTCTCTGAAAAAAAATCAATTAAAAAAAATATATATACATATATATATATTTTAATATATATTTTATTGATTTTTTTACAGAGAGGAAGAGAGAGGATTAGAGTTAGAAACATCGATGAGAGAGATCATCGATCAGCTGCCTCTTGCACACCCCCCACCGGGGATGTGCCCGCAACCCAGGTACATGCCCTTGACCGGAATCAAACCCGGGACCTTTCAGTCCGCAGGCCGACGCTCTATCCACTGAGCCAAACCAGTTTCGGCAAAAATATGTATATATATTTTTAAAAAAACCACAGCAGACGGCTTTGTGAAGAGGTTTTAGTAGCTAAAGAACGGCACCACGTGTTCCGAGGCCATACCAATGACAGTATGCGGGACATACTGACGGGCTGAGGTAAGACACAGGGCTCCGCCTCCCATCCCCTCCGCCAGGGGAAACGCCGGAGACGGGGACAGACGTGTCGCTTATAAAAAGTGTCCCCCCCGCGAAAGGCCTCCTGAGGGGGCCCAGGCTCACCCTCCGTGAGTCCGGGGCCGGGGCCGCCTGGCCGGGGCGCGCTCACCGCCCTCCTACTTCTGGCCCAGGGCTTTGTCCAGGTTGTTCTTGATGGTGTCCAGGAAGTCCGAGGTGTTCAGGAAGTGTTCGTTGAGCTTCACGCTGCCAAAGAGGGCGAGAGAAGGCCGCTGGCATAAGGGGCAGAGCCCGAGCTTGGGCATCTTTTCTTCTTTTTAATCTACTTTTAATTGATTTTTTTTTACAAAGAGGAAGAGAGGGGGACAGAGAGCTAGAAACATCGATGAGAGAGCATCATCGATCAGCTGCCTCCTGCACACACCCCCACTGGGGATGTGCCGGAAACCAAGGTCCATGCCCTTGACCGGAATCGAACCCGGGACCCTTCAGTCCACAGGCCGATGCTCTATCCACTGAGCCACACCGGCTCCGACAGCTTGGGCATCTTTTTTTTTTTTTTTTTTTTTAATGTATTTTATTGATTTTGTACAGAGAGGAAGGGAGAGAGTTAGAAACTTCGATGAGAGTCATCGATCAGCTGCCTCTTGCACACCCCCTACTGGGGATGTGCCCGCAACCAAGGTCCATGCCCCTGACCGGAATCGAACCCAAGACCCTTCAGTCCCCAAGTCGACGCTCTGTCCACTGAGCCAAACCGGTCCTGGCAGCTTGGGCATCTTGATGGCAGCCCCCCACCCCCTGTGGGGACGCATGGCCAGGCCACCTGCAGGTCACAGGTCCCCCCGCCGCTGCCCACCCACCGCCCAGGGTCCCAGCAAACTCAGCGGGAGCCCGGGAAAGTCTGCCTGTTCTTCTGCAGGTGAACGGGCTGCTGGGTACCAGGTCTCCTGGGAGACGCTGGGAGGTGGGTACCGGAGCGGGTGGATGGGGAGCGTGGGCCTGTCTTGCCCTAGGCTCCTGGTGGCAAAGCTGATCGAAGACCAGGGACACACACACACACACACACACACACACACCCTCACCCTAGCCCGTGTGGCTCAATGGATAGAACATCAGCCTGCAGACTGAAGGGTCCCGGGTTTGATTCCGGTCCAGGGCACATGCCCGGGTTGCAGACTCCATCCCCAGTAGGGGGCGTGCAGGAGGCAGCCCATCCGTGATTCTCTCTCATCATCGATGTTTCTCTCTTTCGCTCTCTCTCCCTTCCTCTCTGAAATCAATAAAAATTTTAAAAGGACGGGGGTAGGGGGTCTCTAAGAAGGGTCCCTCAGCTTCTGCCCACTGGCCCCCCCAGGCCCCGGAAGGCCAGCC